GGCCCCTTTGACCATCCTCTGATTTATGGGAGAGCAGGAACACCCACACTTTCACCCACTGCAGGAAAACTTTTCATTGCTGTTTTTTGTTTAGTTTTGAGATGGGTACAGACTTGACCTCCCAGACTTCGCAGGAGAATGCCTCCCCACTTCTCTCCTTGCTCCTTATTATAGCAGCAGCTCCTGGCTGTAGGTGCAGGCATATAAGGAGAGAGGTAGCTGCCTGGGCATGAATCACTGCCTGAACACCCAGTCCCCCCATCTTCTGAGGAAAGGGGAATGGAGAGCACTGGCAGAATTTTAGCTGACCTGCTAGAAACAGTTGGATCATGCTGTTTAACATAAAAATGGCTTCAGTCTGCAATTAGGCATGGCTCTGATTTCTAATAAGGAATTTAATGGTGCCTCTCCCAGAGGATCTAGGAGAGTAAAGAGGAGGGGGTGAGAGTAGGAGATACCTAAATAGTTTAGAAATTATTTTTTAAATCCCTGTTCAGCAGAAACTAGCTAAAGCAGAGTATGATTTGCTAGCTAAACAGTATTTGCTTAACAAGACACTTATTTGTGCACATTGCTGCTATTAAGTAATCAATACACCTGGGTGCAAGGCTACACACAGTTTATTGTTCCTCCCCTTGCTTTGCTCTGACTCAGCATTGAATCTGTATGGTTGTGCGGGTATTACCCAGGCAGCTAGAAAGTTTCTTGTGATAAATAGTGGTGTAGCCAAGGAAGAAAAAAAAAAAAAGTCAGGCATATTTTTCACTGTCTGACTCTTACAAGGTTGGGGTTTTTTTTCTATTTAACTAGAACCTCAGACTGGTGCTTCTCTGCAGTCCAGCTCTTCGCACCACCTACTGCCTTCAGGAACCCGTCTAACAGATGATTCATCTTTCAGCATGTTCACACCTGCACAATCACCATAAGTGGAAGAAATTTCCTCTATTCTACAGCAAACAATGGAAAGGATTGTATTTACCTTTCTGCTCAAAACCAGAAAACAGTTGCTTTCAGAGCAGGTTATGAAACTCCCAACATCTCAGGTCAGGAAAAGTTTGTGTCACGCGAAGGCGACCATGTGCTGTCGGTCCCCACAGCCAGTTAGTTAATAGAGCTGTGATAGTCCTGTCTTTGAGATCCAGTTTTCCTCAAACGGTTTCTAAACCATAGCACGCTTTCCTTTGCAAAAGAAATAAATTTGAAAGCATAAAAATTATGCAGGCCAGCTTCTCACCTGATTTTGTAATGAGATGTAATATTTTGCCCTGTGTCTAGCTCCAGGCAGCCAGCACACAATTAGAAGAAACAGCAATCCTTGTGCACCAGCGCATCATCCGGGCACTAATCGAAGACATTAAGAAAACTCCCCTCCTGATGCGGTACCAAACACAGGTGACTTTCACCCTGCTCTGAAGCATCCCTTT